TTAGGGTCTAGGGGCTTGGGGTTTAGTGGCTTGGGGTTTAAGGGTTTAGGGTTTAGTGGTTTAGGGGTTTGGGGTTTAGGGTTCGGGTCTAGGGTTTAGGGCTGAGGACCTTCAACCGTGAATCTTTAGGATATATACCCTAAGTCATGACCTACCCCGTAGAAACCTATCAGGAATCCTTCATAGAGGGATGCGGGACTTTGGCACCTAAGCACTTAACCCCTACACCCTAAACCCTAAACCCCTAAACCCCTACACCCCAAAACTAAGGCTCTCCTATAAGCCCTAAACCCGAAACACAAGCTCCCAATATAGATCCCCTTATAGAACCTTCCTAGATTCCTTTTAAAGAGCCCCATTCTGTTACAGATCCCCTTGTAGAACCCTTCTAGATCCCTTTAAAGAGACCTCATGATTCAGATCCCCTTTGGAACCTTTATAGTACTTTATAGAACCCTTTTAAAGCCCAGCTTCGAGCCAACGGCCACCACCCGGCCGTCGCTGCGAAGAAGCGCTGCGTGGTCGTGGCCGGCTGCAATTTGCACGTACGCCTGGGAGGGCTCACGCTCTCGCAACTCGGACTGCCCAGGTTTTTCAGCGCCCAGGTTTAGGGTTTAAAGGTTAGGGCGTTTGGGGTTTAGGGTTTCGGGTTTAGGGTTCGGGAACGAGTCAGCTGTCCTGGCGTGACGTTGCAAGCCAGTTGCAAAAGGGTTTGGGGTTTCAGGGCTTGGTAGCTGCGATGGCAGGGCATGACAGCGCCATAAAGGTTTTGTTGGGGCTTAATCATGAGGTTTAGGGCCCTCGTCTTACAGTTTCAAGCTGCGCAGGCGTCTGTTTCAGAATGACTGCTAATATACTGAGACTCCAAAGTGATGTCGCCTTGAACTGCAAGTCCGTAACACCTTAATCCGCGGCTCCTGTCTTACTGCACCCTTTTTGTTGAGGGGGATCGTTACTATAAGGATCCTAGGCCCTGTATTTTCTGAAGCTCGCCGTTGCCGGAATCGGTGCGGGAGTCTGTCGAAAGGGATCTAGTGAATGTGGGGGCCTTAATAATTAAAATAGGGTTGGGGCTCCTTTATAGATAATAAGAAAGCCTAAGAATAACATTGGTAATTATCCTAGGCTTCCATATTACATGTCTCTGGGTTCGAAATTGTTCCCCTCACTCCAGCACTTGTGACAAACCTCCCCCCAACTAAAGCAAACAGGCTCCAGGGGATCCCCCGAATCATCCCACCCATCGTAGACCGATTTTCAACGAGGGGAACCCTAAACCCTAAATCCCTAAATCCCTAGAGCCCTAAACCCCGAGCAAGAGCAGGAGCAAGAGCAAGATCCCGAAGTGACAGTGGTCATAAAAAGCACACCCTAATAATGAAGCATCGTTTAATGTTCAAAAGAAGGGGTTCTATGGGAAGTCCTTGACCCGAGTTTATACTGCATGGCGGTTATACTGGCGGTTGTTGGGATTCCCATGATTGTAATATTCCGGCCCTGAACGCATGATTGTTTATTCGCCATGAGTCTACATAGGATCTTGCCTTTGTTGGCCTGAAGGCTAATCCCAGCGGAAATTTCGCATCTGAGTATTGAGGAAAAATGCGCTTGGTCTATTCTCTGCTGAAGGGCACGGCTGTTCTGGATATCGGGATCTGGGTCGATGGAGCTTGGGAGTATCAATGTAGGGGCCTTAATAATTAGAATAGGGTTTTGGGGTCCTTCATTTCATTTAAATGTAACAAGGACCCCCCAAAATAGTATTGGTGATTTATTTCGGCCCCTTTCTTAATAACCCTAAACTCCTAAACCCTTTAAATCCTCAACCCTGACCCTCCTAGCAGGGCTTTCGGCCAAAGGGCCCCAAGGCCTTAAGCCAAACCGGAACGTGAATAGAGGTTAGGGTTTAGGGTTTAGGGTTCCTCTAAAGATTTGTTCTGTGAAAATCACAAATACGCAACTCATATCAAGTCAACGCCTAAACTTATAAACCCCAAAACCAGGCTGCCCAGTAAAGTAACCTAGGAACAAAAAAAGGGGCTCCCTTTTTGGTTTTGGGTAGGTTTAGAGGAACCTAAGACCACCAAAAAGGGAAAAGGGTCCATGGGAGACCTAGAAAACCTTGCCAAGGCAGCCCAATCGTCCAGCCCGGGTCCTGGATCGGGGATGTCCAGCTTCACGCGCTTGTCCTTGGTCTTCGGTTTAGGGTTTTTTTTCAGGTTTAGGGCTGGAGCTGTTGGGTTGAGGTGTCATACCTAAGTACAGAGAAGAATATGATGTTGTTGTTTGTTGTCCTTTGCTTTTCCTTGTTAGAATGTTGTGGGGTACGGCTCCTTTGCCCCCGGCATGGAACGGGTAGGGGTGTATAGGTTTTAAGTTACGGCTCAAGGCGTTCAGGGTGTAGGGGTATGGGAGGGGTGTATTTGTTTATTTAATGGGCTTTCACCCAGAGTCGCCCAGTTTAAGGTGCGCCTCAGGAATGCTTTTCGAGCAAGACGAGGACTTTTGGCTACACGAAATTGAAAGCTTCCATAGCCCTAAACCCTAAGCTCTCTTCCAGGGTTTGTAACCCTCGCCTACACGGTTAAGGGTATATGGCATATGGTTTGGGGGTTTAGGGCTTAAGGTTTAGGGTTCGGTATGACGAATACCAGGATCTCTTCATCAGCTGTACATGTGCCACTTTGACGAAGCCACTTGACCCATGTATCCGATCCATGTACGCTGTTTTGTGCTACCAGCATGTCAACTACACTATGGTGTATGAAATGATAGATACTGATTTCAAAGTGTGTGTGTACATATATATAACCGTTTATCTATTTATGTAGCTACATACACCTAAACCCTAAGCCCTAAACCCTAAACCCTAAGCCCTAAACCCTAAACCCTAAACCCCAAGCCCTAAACCCTAAACCCTAAACCCCAAGCCCTAAACCCTAAACCCTAAGCACAGCGGCATCTCCCGGGACCGTGCCGGAAGCCACCGCAACCCCATCGGTGCGCAGGAACAACGAGAACCGGTCTCCAGCAGCTACCTTCGGCTCTTCTGTCTGGTGCTTTCTAGGGAATGGGGGAATGGGATTAGCGTTTAGGGTTTAGGGTTTAGGGTTTAAGCCTAGGGAATGGGGGAATGGATCTGTATGATAGTCCCTTAAGGTCCCTGATAGTAGTCCCTATAATCCATTCCCCCATTCCCTACTAAGCACCAGACAGTCTTCCCAAGTTTGGCTGGACAATCGCAGGCACAGAGAGAGAGAGAGAGCGCAATCCTACGATCCGCTGAACCCTCCCACGGGGGAGGCACAGGAATGTTCTTATCGCTCCTTTCCTGGGTTGTAGCTTTGGGGCCCTGAAAAGTATTTATTAATAGGTACCTCTATAGAAACCATAAGGGAAATTTTAGAGTTTCCCAAGTTGCCACCCAGTTTGAGTTCCTCTATTGCTTCGCATGGTTAGGATGAGGCGTTGAAGCCACGAGTTTCCCAGGAGCTGTGTGGGCTTACAATGGGGGTTGTGGGGTATGTTATACTGGAAAGTAAGGAGCCCTAAAATAGAAAAGTAAGGAGGCCTAAAGGCTCTAAAATAGAAAACTAAGGAGGCCGCCTAAAAAATATTCTGACTCCAATTCCTTCCCTGATACTAAACGTTCGGCACTCAACCGAAAGAACCTGTTCCGGACTTCTGGGGCTCTTGTACTAACGGTTTAGGGTTTAGGGTTTAGGGTTTAGGGTTTAGGGTCGTCGTAATGGCATTGCTGGTGCCTTTTTGCTGACGGCAACTTATCGTTCTTCCCAATACGCAAACTGTCCACATTTGGGTACACCACACCACCCATACGACTTCTTCGGGTCCCTACTATGATAAGAGCATGAGACCGCCGAAAACCTTAGACCAAGAAGTCAGGCCCCTGTAGCAGTCTTTGGCGGCTAATTTCCTGGTCTGGTATCTGGGTTGGCATTTAAACCCTGAAAAAAAAAATATATATATATATATATATCAAGTGTCCCTACCCAAGTAAGGAAAATAAACATGTCCCCAAAAACCAACCTAGACTAAGAGTTGTTCAGAACCTGCCGTGGAATGACGCCCTCTAGCACTGCTCTACAGATCTTCGCGCGAAATCTCGGCATCCCTCAACCCTGCACCCTCGCATCTCAAAAACAGATATGGGAGTTTCCGAAAATAAGGGTACCTTATTTTGGGGTCCTCATAACAAGGATCCTACTATTTAGGGTACGAAATAAGGGTCCCCTAAACCCCCAATATGATTCTCTGCAACATGGCTCGGGGAGCCAATACAACGCCGTCTAGTGCACAAGTCGCCAGACATAACTCGCAGCAATACAAAAGCACGATGAGCCATATGAGCCATAGCAAAGTCCATCCTCCCTACTCCAAACGCCCCTGACCCTCTTAAGGGCCGTTCCTAGCCTGCTTGTACCTCACGGACTCGGGTTTCGGCGGCACCGTACCTCACGGCTACTTCTATGACGCCAGAATACGGTGTACAGGGGCACCAAGACTGTTCCTGAGGTTCCTTGTGCATTTTACGTCCCGAAACCCTCTTCCAAATGTCAAGGCCCCGAGATTTGGGGCCTGAGCCTCAGGAACCCTAAACCCTAAACCCTAAGAAGCCGGAAAGAGAAGCTCCTCTAGCCCGCAGCTTCACGCCAAATCTGGTGCTACGGCCTTGAAAGGGTCGCTCAACCCATAGGCCCCATAGTTCATCATAGTTCTTCCTTTTTGGGATGACCTTATAGGGTTCTACATATGAACCCCAAAAAGGAACTACTATGGGGCCTATGGGTAAAGGAGCTTGCACACATGTCAAGGCTCGAAATTTCTGCCCCGGAGCGTCGCTGAACCGAGCT